ATATTTTTATATACATAATAATTTGTTATGCATTTATATTTTCGCATTAATTATATATACCAAATCACAGATTACATTTTTTATATAAGCTATGAATAATATATAATCTACGTGATTAGCTACCTCACTCACATAATATTTGATAGAAAATGACTTATGTATGTATATATTTTACGTACATATTTGTATTATATATGTTTGGTGTAAGATTACTTACAGCAAATATGGTTTATTGGCCTGCTCAGAGTACAAATATGTTGATATATACATAACATACAAATCTAATATATATACAAATTGTAATCTAATCTCAATTACACATCTCACTGTGCCTTGAAGACGGTAGAATATAAATTGATAGTATAGTAGCGCACTATTTATATTCCATTGTCAATCATTCGAATATATTCACATGCAGGCACATGCTCTACAATGCACACATTAGATGTTCTAAATATAATTCAGATCACTTGTTGCACTTTTTAGTACGTCATTTCACGCGTCCGCTAAAAAGTATGCAACGATTTTTGTATGACAATAGCTCACACTGACAATTCGCCCACCAAGCCAGCTTGGGCTATAAATCAATATTAATTAATTCACGCTGACATTGGCAAGATTGCAACAGTTTCTTGCAGTGTATGGGGAGGCGTGTCATGTGCATAAAAAATCCATTGTAGCATTGTTAACCAGCTAAACTGTTTACATAATAGTCGAAGGGAAAACTACCGCAACAGTGCTGTGTCCGTGTGTGAGTGTGGATATCTATATATATATGTGTGTGTGTAAGTCACATGCGGGCTGCGTATGCCTGTGAATGCTTATGCTTCCAATGATTACGTATGCCACAACAAGGGCAGGAGATTGGGGCTAAAGTCTTTCTCGTTCTCCATTTCCATATTGCAATCCATGTCTTAGGGTGGTGGGGCGTGTCAAGGGGGCGTGGTTACATGGCTATAGTTGCAGCTGCTAGCAAATCGACATCAGCTGAAAAGCTGAATAGGCACGTGTTGGCAACGTATATGTGTGCCTCAGCGAGTCGCATTATCCTGCCTGCTGCGCTTGCACATTGCGCG